CTACATGGGAAACTCCAGCCCCAGCCCGAACTGACCTTACCACGGATGCATCCCTATGGGGATGGGGGGATTCAAACCCAAGGTTTGTGTGTGGGTCCCAAATGGGCACCTCGTGTGGCCTACAATCACCTCAGTGTCCTGGAACTGATCGCTGTCCAGTATACACTAGGTCTTTTCTCCACCTTGTGGCCCACTGTACGGTGGCAAGCCCGGCAAACAACACCACTGCACCGTGTTGCCTGAACAGGCAAGGCGGAACAGCGTTCAGGGGATTCTGTCCACTGGCCTGGGAGGTGTGGACTGAGTGTCAATCCTGGGACATGTTCCTCACTGTCGCTCACCTGCTAGGATCGCTCTAGGTGTAGGCAGACGTCCTGAGCAGAGGAGGTGCATCCCTTCACGAGTGGGAGCTCGATTGGGCTGACCTACAACCAGTTTGCCACAGGTAGGGTCACCCAGGAATCGATGCTTTTGCTACGCACCAGAATGCCGTGTGACGTCTGTCTGTTCCAGGGCAGGGCAGGACCCAGTGCCTTCTGTCGCCATGGTCTCATTGGCACGTTTACCTGTTCCCACCGATCCTTCTACTTACCAGAGTGCCCAGCAAGATCATGGAGGGGCAACCTCAATGCATCCTCGTGGCACCATATAATCTGTCCAGGCACCTCTGGCCCAAGTTTCATAATTAATCCACCATCCACTACGCCCCTGGAAGGAATTCAGAACCTTCTCCAAAAGGCGCTACAGAATCAGCTCTGACGGCTCTTTTCCCCCAGGCACCTGATCTCCTCCCAGCTCAGGAGAGCAGAGTGCTTCGCACCGTACCACACCTCGAGCTCATAGCATGGACGATTCCCTAGCACTGCAATAGCAGGATTGACCTAGTCCTGTCAAACTGTTGGCAGCCAGCTATACGCGCTGCCTTTGAACAGAAGTGGAAGATGCTTTCGCTTTGCCTTGAGTCATTGGATTTATCACCACCCTCTTTGGTGTTGGATTAGTGTTGACCCGCCTGGAGTTGTTTTTCTTTAAGAACCTTTTTGGCCACCACCTACACCACTCATGGTGGATGGTTATTCCATTTTTTCTCACTTGCAAGCAAGGCAGTTCTAACAGGTTTCACTCGGCCCTTTCCTCTGGCTAGTGGGGCCGACTCCCTTCTGGGACTTATATCTAGTGCTGTCCAGACCAATGCACAACTGTTTGAGCCCATGGCCAAGTCTAGTCTGCAGCTTCTATCGTGGAACACTGTTTTTCCTTGAAGCCATTACTTCAGCATGACGAGTGAGAGTATTGTCTGCACTCCGTTGCGACTCTCCGTATTGATTTTTCTACTTGATGGTGTCACCGTGGCCTTGGATGTCTCTTTCCTGCCCAAGGTTGTTCCAAGCACTACTTATGAGCTTGCATTGCTCTTCCAATGTTTTCCTGTTCCCTACGGGTGACGATGAATGCCGGCTTCATGCTTTGGATGTTTAGAGAGCTACCCTCTTCTACCCCGATGGAACAAGGTCGTTCCATCAGTCACCGGCCTTGTTCATCTTTTATAGCACACCTGTGCGAGGAAGAGGTTTCTTCGCAACATTTATCTAGGTGAATTGTGGAACCATCTACTGAGTTACTTTCTGGCCAAACGGCTACTCCCAGGCCCGCTCTGAGCACTTACCACCGGGCAGTGGGCTTGTTACAACCTCCCTGGGAGGTCTGCCTCTCACTGGTATCTGTCAAGCAGCAGCATGGGTCACCCCCACCCCACACACACTCGTGAAGCTTTATGCTCTAGGTGGGCGTCTTCATCGACACTCTGTGGTGTGACGGGCAGGGTTGCAGGCGGCACAAGTCTAGGACCTTCAGCTCCCTCCTCCGGTGGGCTTGTTTACTGCTTGCTACTCTCCCAGGGGTGTGATGCACAGAGACCACGAAGAAGATTAACAGGTTGCTTATCTGTAGCTGAGGATCTTCGAGTGGTCATCTGTGCATTCACACCACCTGCCCCCCTCTGCTTTCTGTCCTCTCCTCTTGTTTTGCTCTGAGACTGATGGCAGCGGTCAGAAGGAACTGGCGGGACTGTAGTGCCCCTCCCTTGGTCATGTGCAGTGGGGCCGGCGCATGACGAGGGGGCGGGCACAAAAATCCCTTTCGCTTTCAAGAGGAACCGATTGAGGTCGGCGCAGGTGCACTATATCCCCCCAGAGGTGTGAATGCACAGATGACCACTTGAAGATCCTCAGTTACAGGTAAGCGACCTGTTTTTCTTTGGCTGTTGTTATCGAGGCAAGCCTGTAGTCAGTATTGTGGCTGCTTCTCAGTTTGTTTTAGTACAGGTTTTATTGTTGGGGTATCACAATTTATCTGTAAAATACTGTTAGCCGGTTGGGATGGATTTGGAAAAGGAGAGGGAAATATCTGACTCAACAAATAAATGATCTCTCAGTTTGGTGGTAAAAATCAGATCATGACGCCATCTCGAAGTGGCCCATCACTGAAGAGGGAGGTCAAGGGCTTATGCATGTGTACACACAGGGCTTCTTTATGATGCTTGTCCTCGGATCTTTTGGCTTGTCCCAGGGTGTTTCCGCACTAGATCTTAAATCCTGGTTCAACCCTGTCCCCGAACTTACGTTCTACACTATACTCAAGTTCACCCCTTGTCAGGTTCCCGGTTCAATCAGTTCTCAACAACAGCCAGTTTTTAGAAAGCTAACTTTATTGAGACAGTTGATCGAGACCATCCTAGACACATCTATTGTTTGCACTGAAGCTAAACGCGGGAAGGTTACAGACATAGGGGATTCAAGTAAAAGCACTAAAGGTCAGGACCCAATCACCTCCCCCCCCCAGTATTTTGCCCACCAGAAGTAACTGTCAGCTCCCCCCCCCTTCTCCTAAAGGCAGGTAGCCTTCCATATCGAGGAACATTTGAGAAGCCAGGCCATTTGGCATCGTGAAGGGGGCAAGCCCCAGAGACTTCAAAGGGAGGGAGGGGAGCCTCCTCTCTCAATGACAGACGAGCTGTAAACTGAAAGATGCACCGAGCACCTGACACCCCTGTAATGTTCTCGGGGTATTTTTTGTTTCCATATTACATTGAGGTCACCCCAGTTTCACCCCACACTTGTCCTGGGCAGTGTTCCCTCTAAGCTGAGTTAGTGTGAGCTAGCTCACAGTTTTTTAGCTTCCAGCTCACACATTTTTGTCTTAGCTCAGGAAGGAGGGCTCCAGAGCAAACTGATTTATGCAGTACCCAAATCGCTCGCTCACAACGTTAATGCCCAATAGCTCACAAAGTAAATATTTGCTTACAAGACTCCACAGCTTAGAGGGAGCATTGGTCCCGGGATAAACGGATGCTGTTATAACCAGGGATAAATGCACGATATTGTGTCGCGAGTTGAACTCCAATAAAACCAGGGATGAGACCCATCATGCCAAAAGAGGGACTCAGCCACTTGCTTTGGAGCAGATCTTAAGCCTGAGTCTGCTGCTCAGCCAGACTTCCCTGGTGGGAGGGTGTGTGTGGGGGTGTCAGTTTACAAGGGAGTGATGTGCCAATCCTTCTCCTCCACAGTTCCGCTTCAGTGGGGGCGGCGACGGTGGCTCGAAGGGCCCCATGGTCTCTGCTCAGGAGTCCCAAGCTCAAGCCATCCTGCAACAAGCCAGGGTAAGTGAGGGCCCCATCTGCTGCCCTTGGGCCTCTTGCCACATTCCTGTTTTTTCTCCTGCTGCTTAGCCTTCCCGCTGGTGCCGACAGTGCATTGGGTGCTACTCCGCTGGCAAGGTATGCGTTGTTGTGCAGGTCAACAAAGCTGGAAAGGGTTGGCCAGGATTCCATCTGCCTCCCCGCATGCCAAACCGCAAGGCCACAGAAAGGAAGGAGAAGAAAGGCCAGGAGTGCCGCCGTGGGTCCCCGTGAGGGTCCACCTTCCTGCCCTCACCCGGCAGCTCGTGGTTTGGCCTTCTTGGCCAGGATTTCCTTGGGCAGCTGTTAGGCTCCTGCCCTGCCCCGCGCAGTTTCCGTACTTTGCTCTGGACATTTATTTCCGCTTGCCCCCCTCTCCCTTCCTCCCCTGCATGGCCTCCTGGTTCCAGCCTCCTCCTGATGGCACTCTGCCGAGTCCGGCTCTGCCGCCTCCCGTTCTGTCTCAGATTGACAACTGCTGAGCTGGGTAGCCAGCCCTCTCCCTCTTGCTGGCCCTTCGAACTGGATAATCAAGCCCATCATTGTGTTGAGCTATGAAAACAGAGTTGCCAACTCCTCTTGGGAAGTTCCTGGAGATTTTGGAGCAGAACCTGGAGAGGGCAGAGTTTGAGAAGGGAGCACAGTGGGCATAGGATCTGAAGTTTCAAATTTAGTTTTTATTGAGAAAATAAAAGAAAGAAAGAAAAAGAAAAAAACATACATAAAATAGAAGGCGGCTTCGAATTTTCTCTACAACAAATGTAGGTTTGATTACAACAATTTCCCTTGCTCTGTATATAGAATAAAGAACTCTCTTCTTTATATCTTAATAATCAAAACCACAAACAATCCAGTCTATATGTGGTTTCCAGTCTGTAATAAACAAACTAATTGTTGTTTCCCCAACCAACACAGTAAGTTTAGCCATTACTGCAAGGTCCAACATCTTCTTGAACCATTCTTCTGTTGTAAGTATTGTTGGACACTTCCATTTCTGTGCGTATGATATTCTTGCTGCCGTTGTCATGAATAGAAATAATGGTCCATGGCTTCTTTCCAACTGATTGTCCATTAGTTCTAACAAAAAGGACTCTGGTTTCAATTGTATATTAGCAAGCCCATACGCATGGGGGTGCCTATGAGTGCCCGGCACCCTCCCCAGACAGCCGTGCCTCTCCCCTTCCCCCTCTCTGTGAAGCGCCCACCTGGCTTGCCAGGGGAGGGGAAGCATGCCTCAGCCCTCGCTCAGCTTGTTGCTGCTGGTGCAGTTGTGATGTCTGAGCTGCTTCAGGAGGTGCAAGATGAGGTTCCTGTCTTTGCTCTCCTCTCGTATTGACTGCAAAGGAAGGGGATGCGGGAAGAACAGCCCATTGTCCTGCTGCTAGCTAGCCAACGGAACCAGGTTGTGTCTGTAAAATCTCCAGGGGCTCCTTCAGCAACCCTTGCCAGATATCTTGGCTCTTCTAGGGGTAGGCTTGGATTCCAGAGCAATGCACAGTGCTTCAGAGAGAATACATCTCCCAGACACAAACCCTGACTTTTCTTTGTTGGTTCCAAACTGTCCCAGGTGCTGGTCCTGCTCCCCCCCATTTTTGCCTGTCGACTCCTACCTAGCCATGCCTCTCCCCCTCTATATTTCGTTAACAGCAACAACCCTGTGATGTAGTCAGTTCCATGTACTAAACTGCCCCCTTGGGGCCCCCCAACAAAAACTTTCTGTGTATGGAGCTGTATATTAGTCTTTAAAATCTTCTGTATTAATATTTGTAATTGTGTTCAAATTTTTTGGGTTTCTTGCAAATCTACCACATGTGCTAAAATATTCCTTCATGATGATTATATTTCAAACCTAAACTAGAAGTACTGTTGTAAATTCTAGACAATTTCTCTGGAGACATATACCAACGATACATCATCTTATAAAAGGTCTCCTTATAATTAGAGCTTTAAGTACATTTCAAAACCTTTGTCCACACACACGTTCCCATTGTTCCATATGCATGTGTCATGTCCAAAGTTTTTTGGGCCCATTTTACCATACATTATTTAACTTGTACTTCCTCAGTTTCAAATTTCAATAAGAATTTATACATTTTAGCAATAACATGGTCACCCTTTGTACATAATTCTATTTCAAATTCAGACTTTGATTTCTCAAAATCATGATACTTTTATCAGCTTTGAACCTTTAACTTTGTTGTACATCATATATCCATGCCATCCAAATCTCTAATAATCTTTTGGGTGTTTTTTTTTTAAACAAAATCCAGTCTTTCATCCATACCCAGCAGGAGGCAGCAAAATACAGTTTCCAATCTGGCAAACCCAAGATGCCTCTTTCTTTTGCATCTTGTAATACCTTATATTTAACTCTTGGTTTTTTCCCTTGCCATGCAAATCTAGGTATCTCTTTCTGCCATTGTTTAAATGGTACATCTGTTGTCAAAATGGGAATTGTCTGGAACAAGAATAACATTCTAGGTAAACCATTAATCTTAATCACAGATATTCTACTTAAAAGTGACAGTTGTACATTACCCCATCTCAACATACCTTCTGGCAAATGAAGTTGTCAGCAAGACAAGTCAGGAATTTATTGGACCTTTCATTTTTAGCAGAGTTGAACTTCCAACAGATATCCAGGTAACTGAAATCTCCCATGACCACCATGTCCCATCTCTTTGAGAACTTTATAATCTGTTCTAGGAGTGTCTCATCTACGTTTTCTGCCTGGCTTGGTGGTCTATAGCAGACCCTCACCATCATGTCACTATTATTTATTACTCCATGCTCATCACTCAATACTAATTCTGGTATTAGATGAGATTTGATACACAACACAACTCCATTTTTTCTTTTTAGTATCCGCTGATATAAATTCTTCACCCAGGATTTTATGTCAGATATTTTGTTTTATTTTTCTTATGTTAATCTCGTGTGAATAAATAACATCTTCTTTAATTTTTTTTGAAATAATGAAATATTTTCCCTTTTTTGAGGGGCATTTAATCCATTAACATTCCATGATAAATATTTGTAATATTTATTGTAAGAAAACTTAATTTTTTAATTTCAAAATAAAATTAAAAATTTAACTTGGTACCCATGGCACCCAACAGGGAATCCTCCTTGTCCACATCTTGGTCCCTGTTAGGTACGAGACTCAACACAGCTAGGGAACAGTGAATCAGCTTTATTAACGAAGTCAGAAGAAATCAGAACGAGACAAAAACATAGAGCAATAGGCTCTGTTTTAAACAGTCCGGGCTTAGGTAGCCACGCCCACAATTCAGTTAACAACCAATCACTATTTACATATAAGGTCCAATCAGAGTGCTTCCCTCCAGAACATTGTGCAGCTCTGATTGGTGTATTTACAATTCTGTTTCAGAACTCAAGCTAATGCAGAACTTTATACGTAACAGTTCCTCCCCCCTAAGACGGGACAACCTGGGAGCACATGTAGTCTTTTAAATAAGCAGGAGGCTGCTTACTTCTTTGTAACCGTCTTAATGTTACAGCTGGGTGATTGGTTGGATGTTCCCTGTTGTTAGGGCTATCCAGACTACCTTGTGGGCAAGTTGTCTGACCCTGGTCTTCAGACCGGTGACTGGGTTCGGTCGGGATACTGGGTGGTTCTCCCTCATGGGAGTTGTCTGCGTTCGGGAGCTCTACCCATTCATCAGGTTCGGGTACTTCGGCCACCGCAGTATTGGGCTCAGGGTCTACCTCAGCCCACCGTTTCCTTAATTGGTTGATGTGCCGTTTGAACACTCAACCGTCTGTCAACCGTACTGTGTAAGTATGCAAACCCAGTACCTTGGTTACCATTGCTGGTAACCAACGATTCCCTCCTGCACAGTTTCTGGCATATGCCAACTCTCCCTCCTCAAAACCCCTGGTCCGGTCAGTGGACTCACTCTGTGCGGGTAAACAGCCCTTGTGGACTGACAGTTCACATTGCCTTGATGCAAAAGGCTTACATTCCTCTGTGACGTGCCCCACCGGCCACCCCCTCCACACCCAGTTGAGCACCCTGCCGATGGTGGAGTCTCTGGCCGATGCAGCTCTGATTGGTGTATTTACAATCCTGTTTCAGAACTCAAGCTAATGCAGAACTTTATACAACAGTCCCGTTCTTCTATTGGAGTATCCATCTGCATCTCCTCAAAATCTGATTTGAACCTTGTAAAAAATCTCTCGCTTTTTGAACTAAATTCAGTTTGAATCTTTGTTGCTTTAAAGTAAAAATCATGCCCTCCAACTGCCCATCAAAAGGCAGTCCTTTTCTGTCTTAGTTTTTCAATCAAAAAGGCACTGTCGTTTCTCTTACATAAAATCCTAAGTGGAATTTCTTTCAAAACAATTACATCTATATCATCAGTTTATAACTTATTGATAAAATGTTGGTGAAGTACTTGGTCTGTTGTCATCTTTCTCACAAACTGGACTAGTATGTCCCTTGGGACATTTCTTGTTTTGGCAAATCTAGAATTAATCCTGTAGACTTTATCAATTTCTATTTCTATGTCCTCTTGTTCCCTCTGTAAAAAAGTTGCCAAAAGTAAAACAATCCTCTCTCTGGTGTCTTCACCCATTTACTTTTTAGTATCTCTCAACCTCACAATATTCCTTCTCTCTCAATTACATTAGGGCTACACTGTTTAGATCGGGGTGTCAAACTTAATTGTTACGAGGGCCAGATCCGACAGAAATGGGACTTTGTGGGGTCAGATCATGTGTGTCATAAAATGTAATGTCATGTAGAAGAAAAAGAAGAAGAAGAGATTGGATTTATACCCTGCCCTTCACTACCCAAAGGTGTCTCAGAGCAGCTTACAAACTCCTTTCCCTTCCCCTCCCCACAACAGACACCCTGGGAGGTGGGTGGGGCTGAGAGAGCTCTGACAGAAACTGCTCTTTTTCAAGGACACCTCTTGTCAGAACTACGGCTTGCCCGAGGTCATCCAGCCAGGTGCAAG